TCATTAGGGGCTCTGACAACACAGTGCCATAAGCTGAGTTACCAATACTGTTTCCTGAAACAACAAAATTTTCCTCAGATATCTCCCGTGCCAGCCAGTTTGGCAATAATTAGCTGTTCTTAAATGAAAAGCTTTTTAGAAGCAATAATGAGTTTTTACACCACCTCAGTTTTACAGATAATAAAGCTGCTAGGATAGGAATTGACCTATGCATCCTTTAGACAACCTAAACAATTCAACTAAATATTCCTTTATCAAAACCAGAGGATAATTATCATTCAAACAGTTATTTCAAACATGTTTCTAAAAGCCACACTAGCCTTACTAACCAGTAACATCCATATGGAGGCTTTACTTTCCTAAGCATTTTAACGGTGCATTACAGAGGTCTGTCCTGGCAGAAAGGAGCTGTAGGGGTTGACTTGCCATGAGAACTAATCAAGTGATACTTTAAAAAGCAAAACAAACCAAATTAAAATGCTACCTGCTTCTTTTACCCCTAACGATGCACGGATGTCATACCCTTTTGAAGACTTCTGTTTGTTAGAAATGCCGGGAACTTTTTTCTGCCATTCCCTCACCTGTGAGCTTTTCTCGTCTTTGCCAGTGGCTTTTGGAGACCTGTGGTGGAGTGCTACCCCCCAACTTCTTCCTCGATCTTCCCTCTGGCTGAGTGTTTCTCACTCTGTGACCTCCTGGAGATTGTGCGCTACTGTTTAGGCAGTTCTGGAAGGTAAGTAAGAAATAGCAAGCCTAGTATGAGTGGCTTAAATTCACTAAACGGAGAGGATGGGCACATCCCCAATGCAAGAATTGTAGGGAAGCGCAATTTGCAAACCTTAGCAGAGGTGCTACCAGGGCTGCTTAGAACAAATTGTCGCACATATGGAGGTGACCTGTGGATGTGACAAGCTGGAGATACTTGTCAACAAACTAAGTAAACGTGAGGGCAGAGAATGGGGAACTGGATGGGTTAATCCCTTCCAAAAAGTTAAGGACTGCTTTAATAAATGAAGAAAAGAGTGAGACTGGATCACAGAATCATAGAATCATAGAATACTTTGGGTTGGAAGGGACCTCTAAAGGTCATCTAGTCCACCCCCGCTGCCATGGGCAGGGACATCTTCAACTCGATCAGGTTGCTCAGAGCCCCGTCCAACCTGACCTGGAATGTTTCCAGGGATGGGGCAGCCA